TCATTTGAAAAGACCATAATTTAATGAAGCTTCACTTTGATTTGGTCAGGTAGTCTTGCTAAATTTTCCCACATTGAAATTCCACTCCAAAGCATATTTTTGTTATCAACAACTCTTTAATTTTGGTACCCAGGATCGAACTCTAGACCTCAGGCTTGCCAGGCAGGTGCTTATGCTACTGAACTAAATCCCCAGCCCCTGACAACTCTTTCTTATTCAAAATTTTTGCCAAGATGAATCTTGGAAATGGATAACAGTGGCTGTGAATGTTTGTATAAAAGATTGACTAGTTATTTCTGGCAGAAAATACCCACTCATCAGTACACAGCTGTGTGTTTTCTCTTTTTTGATAGGACAGGTAGACTAAATCATAATGGAAGGAATTATATTTGAAATTACAATTCAGCTCTGCTATTTACTAGTAGAATTACTGTTGGCAAGTTTTTTAATTTCTTTGACTAATATTTCCATTGAATGAGGGATAATAATATACATCTTAAAATGAATTATTTTTAGGATTAAACAAAGTATAAAACTGCCTTATCTCATGGCTTTCAATGTAACAATAATTATTTCACAGTTACCTTTTAACCAATCTGATGGATTAAAAAGTTGAGGGGAAGAGGTACATGTAAAGAAAATAATGATTTAATTTTCTGTATTCTTTCTTGCTTTTTTCCCCAAAGATATAACCATGTTTAACCACATTTATGGGATAAATTTAATCACATTTTATTTAGTGGATTCTGCAGTGCACGTTTAATCTTTTTAATATTTGTAAGATCGGATTGTTCTCTTAAGGCAAATACTAAATATGGTAGCATTCCTTGGATTTCTTTGGAAAATGACTATTAATTTTGTTACATCTTCTTGTGTCTTAGAATAGAGAAAAAAGTGAAAATTTTCATTTGTGTGAATTATGCACTTATTATTTCTTGGCTCATTTATTGACATCTTGACAGTTTTCTTATTAAATTACAGATCCTCTAAACTGATTTTTTCACCATTTCTTCTATCTACTGCTATTATTTTTTATAAAAGTTCTGCTGTGCATAGCAGTGGAGCAGGGAAAGAAAACTTAAGAACTGCAAATTCTTGAAAGGGGCTCCTCTTTCTGAGATTTCTCTTACCTTCCTCCACACATCATAGGTTTTTCCAGTCATTTGCTTTATCTTTTGTGGACCTCTTCCATTCTCTGTTGTAGCTGACCATTTTAGATCCTTGTCTGTTCTATTAGATGCTGATCACTCCGGAGCAGGGAGAGTAGGTCATTTATTTACAAGAAAGTAAGCATTCAATACATTGCAGATGAGCAAATGGGTTTCACTGTGGTTCACTGGAGTTAATTTAAGGTGTGCCTCTGAAGCCTCCTTGGCCTCACTCAAAAAAATAAATTGCTGGTCATATTTCTCTAATATTACTCACATAGTCATTTCTTTTCCATTGTTTGCAATGACAGTCCAGCCACCTGTTATCGTGGCAGTAACTTCTCTCCCCATTTTCTAATGTCATAACTAGGGCTGTCCATCTCACTGTCAAGATTGCTCATTTGCAAACTTAATGGACAAGAGACCACCATTTTGTTCTTGTTCTCTAGTTTGGAGTGTAAAAGAACTAGGAGACTGAGCACGTACCCTGATGGAAGACCAAGTCTCCAACTGGCTTGATCTTGAATATTCTGGCCTGTTGAATCGTTTCCCTGTAGTTGCCTGGCTAAATTCATTGATTTGTATTTGCTATCTTCTCTGTTGGTGCTTTACGATTTTAAAGTCTGTTAGGTTGTCACTATTTTAGCATCTTTTGGTAGAGAATACTGTTTATCTTTTTTTGTATTGTATTTCCTGTTAAATTTCAGATTTTATGTGCCCAAAACAAGTGTGTTGGAATTTTGAATGGCATTATGTGAAGTATATAAAATTAACTGGAGGAAAAACAAAAAATTCTTTATCAATTTTTGTTTGTGCAATTAACAATTGGTATTTTTATCAAACATATATCTCCCTCAAAATTTTAAATTTTTCTTAGCTACATTAAGCAGATTTTAAAGCAGATTTCTTACCATATTTTTTCACACATAAATACTTGAATGTATGCGTGTATGCATGTAAAGTATATTTAATATTTATAGTGTTTATATCAAAAACATTTTTAGTAGAATTTCCTAACCAAAAATTATTTTGTTTTTTTTCCAGTTTTCTTAAGAAACAAGAATTAACTTTTTCTTTAACTTTGCTTGGTTTTTAAAATTATTTATTTTACTAATTTTCTAGTTTTTTAAATAAGGTTATAACACGGTATAACACACTGAATTTTATAAGTTTTAAAACTTTTTGATTTTAAAGATTTATCAGTAGTTTCATATGGTATAAATTTTTATTTCAATTATTAAAATATATAATACTTAGGACCACTTATTTTTGTTTTCCTGTGTATTTTGTTTCCTGTTCTAGAATTTTAAGTTCAATGCTTTACTTATTTGTTTCTCTGTTGATAAGCTTAAATGCTTTTATTATATTACAAGACTTCTTTGGCCAAATTATACAATTTTTAGCCTTTTAAATTACTATGTTTAATATTCTAGTTTCTTTTTCAAGTCATCAATAGTTGGGAAAATATTCAGTTCTTAAATTCCTGGAATTTTATCTTAATATAAATTAGATCATCTATTTTGAGACAGTAGTTTAAAAAGTTTTCTTTTTTCACTTTGAAGTTACATTTATTTCTTTTATATGATCATTAATAATAAGTTTCCTTTTTTGCTATCATGTAGGGATGTGTATGTGTGTGTTGTATAAATTCAGTTTTTAGGATTTGTCAATTTGTAAGTTATAAGATGCAGAGTGGTAAAAGTTGTTCCTTGCAGCAATATTTAATTTTCTCCTCATTCTTTTCTTCATCACTCTGAATTTTTGTTTTCTGTTACTTGTCTGATTGATATAGTGGGACATAATAATAGGATATAGTAATGTTATATATTATTAAATTGAATCTTAATATTTTTACTTAAATGCTACTTTCAAATACTAATTTCTTTTTATTCAAATCTGATCGGTTAATTTTTGCCTACATTTTCCCCAAAATGTTTTTAAACATAACCCTTGACTTGGTCTCAGATTAAAATTATTTAATAAAGGTATAGCTTCTAGCCTTGATGTGACACCCATTATCCTGTACTGTACCTTGTTATCACAAAATGCTGACCTTTCTGCTCCAATAAGCTATAATTTGAGAGAATATTTTCACACATTTCATGTGCCCATATTCAATTCTAGTAAAAGTTATCTTGAATAACTGGTATCGCATTGCTATTCTTTGATTATGTTTATGTGCTCACTGAAAAATGACAACATTCTTTATTGGGGGCTCAGCTTCAGATACTGAGAGGAATTAAAATTTTGTTTTCACAAAATAAAATTAGCTTACCCTTTTACTTAATTGGAGATGCTACTTCATACGTGTCGCTATTTAGTTTTTCTGAAATGCGTTTCATTTATTCCTGGGCAGTCTGATCCTCACTACCTATCCCTTTATCTTGGTTTCTTTTCCCACGAAAAGGTGGGCCTGCATCATTAAATGAAATACAGAATCTTACATTGTTTTTAAAAAGGGTCAAGTCTGAAAGCAATCTAAACATTACTGATTTATGGCTATTTGCTACTTTAAAAAATTCTCTTCCTTGGAAAATCAAAGAATAATACTTTTTAGCTTCTTGGTACATATTTCCATCTATTTCCCAATTTTGTATCAACCAGGGTGTTGAATATTTTGACTTCTAATGGCCTTTTTCTTTTATTAGTATTTCTTTATCTCTTTAGCTAAGGTTCAACTTGTCTTTCTCACTGGGTCTCTTAAATTGTGATTTTATTTTCTTTGTGTTTTTTTCTTTTGATAAGTTTTCCCCAGAGAGAAGACAGATAGTAAATTACTACCACTGTGTACATAAATTGCACCCTACCTGAGAATGGAATTTTTATGATAGTCTGTTTCTTGGAGGATTCTGTTATGCCTCTTCAGTGTCATTTGGAATCGGGTGGTAAACTTAAAAGTTGTAGCCTTGGATGAAAATATGTTAGGAATGGGTCTGCATTGTACTGGATATATAAAATCTGCCTTACATTTTGTAAATTGAGAAATTACCTATGTACTTTAAGAAATTATTGTGAAGATCAATTCAGATATGTGATCACTGATGTGTCAACTTTAAAAATGTAAGTATTCTAGGGTATCAGATAGAGAAGAAATATGTAAACTATAGTATACCATAGTATCACAAAATAAAATAAAATAGTGAGGAAATCAACAGGGGATGATGAACCACAGTGAGAAGATACATATGAATGAGGTGGGTATGTTGAGGGGAGGAGGTGCTAGGCAGGAGGGCAGTATAGGCAGATAACATAAATAGTATGCGCATCGACTTGTCATTGTGAAAGGCCAGGAGATAAGAGATGCTCACAATGAAGGACTGTAGTTGGTAGGTCATCGTAGTTCTGCCATGCTGCCTTCCACTGTACCAGTCTCACACATGGCTCCATCTAGAGAAGCAGTGCTGGGACAGCCTTTTGCAGGAGGATGAAAACTCATAGGACCAGGGACCAACTCCTGATTCAAAGATAGCTTATTCACCAGCTAATGTGGCTGAAGAGGTCTTACCCAATAGAGGCCATTTAGACTGGCTTCTTCAAAGATTTAGAGAGGGAAGAGGTATTCCTCAGGAGCATACAGATATCCTTAGGAGAAAAAGACAGCCATCCCTTGACCTGCTCCAGATCCTGTGGGTCCCCAAATCCCAGGCATTGCCTTACGAGATCTCTTCCTAAGGCAGCCTCTGTGGATTGCTTCCTGAGATCTAAAATTGCTTAACCAACCTATTAGGCCACTGATCATAGACATGCAGAAGAGCAGTTAATCTGAAAGTTTATTTCTGAGGTAGAGTCCATAGAATTGACTGTTGTGTTAACTGTGTGAGAGGAGTTCCCTAAAGAAGTGGACAAGGGTGCTTTCCTTCTTACCAATCATTATTTTTATTAATATATTTTACAAGGCTGAAGTCGAAATAATATTAAATACAAACTTTTATACAGAAAGTGTAATAAAGTTAAAATAGTTCCTTGTAATTCATAGCATTATTGCAATGCTTACAAAATTTTTGCATAGAGTGTGCAAGGATCGATGTTATTTCAAAACAAAATTAAAAAGCTCTTCTTACATCACACTCAAACCCAGAGGAAAGAGAAAACAAAACTAAAAATAACACAAAGGCTGAACTCAGTTGTTTCATGGGAAGGGGGCTGCTTTTTCTAACTGAAAATCTACACATGAATGGGGTGTCTGTGTAACTCATCTTTTCTGTGAAAAACACCAGAACCTGGCTTCTCCAAAAGAGCATGTAGCCACCTCACCATAGATATCCTGTTTTTGCTTTCTAAAACACAACCTCCTGAGGAGGTGTTTCCGCTTCTTCATAAACTTCAAAAGGGAAAATCTTGACTGGGAAGTGAGGGGGTCAACACAGGGAAAACTTCATTCCATTCCCTAACAACAACACTGGATGACATTAATTTTGTGTCGCTCAAATTTAAATGTGCCAATTGTTCCTTTGGTTTGCTGGAATCTCTCCTCTCTTGTCTTGCCATTTGGACATTTATAATGCTAGAAAGGAAATCCCCGACTGACTTGCCCTGAAATAGGGTCTTTAGCTTTCCTAGCCCATCCCTTTGATAAGGTTTTCTGGGGGCAAGGATTGAGCCAGAGAAGCTCTTGCCCTCAGGCTGTGTGTTTGGGAGGCAGTTGAGTGTATCCGCGTCCTCCCCAGTGGATCAGCTACATGCTGTGTATAGGGCACAGGAAGCAGGATGGACCCCCCAAATCTTTCTTCTGTGGACCTCTGGGTTGTGGGTGAGAACAGATAAACAGCATGACCTTACCAAGGGCATAATTTACTCGAATGATTCTTGGCTGAGTTAATTCAGCAAAAAGATTACCTTTTAACTCTAACATAGCAAAGTCCAAAGTCTTTGCTCAGAAGGTCACCGTGGCCTAAACTACCTGGGCAAAATGAACTTTAGAAACACTCCGTTTTTCCTGTCCTAGCTGGAACACCATTATCCTCACTGCTGAATCTAGGACATTATTTTTAAAGTGTACACTGGTTAAAAGTCTCCCCTGTTAGGATGAAAAGTGGAAACTGGATCCTATTTCCAACCCAGATCAACTGGTAGTGATGGCTTAAAGCTTTGGTGATGATTCTGTCCACGGAGGATCTGGATCATCATCAATGGCTTACAGGGTGTGGACACAAACCATCAGAGACAGTTGCCAGCTGGGCTCCATCTGGTAGTGAATGCCTAGTGCTGACTGGGTCCTCAGCAGGCTTAGCTTCTTTCTTGTGGGGGCAGGGACAGAGATAGAGGCTGAGGGTTGTTTTATTTGATGCTTCAATTTTGCTACGTATAATTTTGGCACAAGTACAAAAGAATAGTAACCAAAAAGTGCCAAACCTCACCCAAAATTAGACGTCTGTATTTTGAAGCGAGGTAGAAGAGATGGAAATAGGTGTTTATGGGAATGAAGCTTTGCTTAGCTACACCTGTAGGTTATTAAAATTTTCTACTAAACATGGGGCTAAGATATCTTCCAATGTGTAAAGACAGGGACCCTGACTTAACAAGCATCTAGAGCACACTAATTTTCTTGGTTCTAAATTCTATTAACCAGGTAGGCTTGCTATATTTTCACCTGACATATTTATACTTTAAAATTGGATGCTATCATAGTGAGAACTGACAGAACACAGAAATACAATATTTCTACTGTTTACAAAGGAGAGCTGGTTTAAAAATTTAGTAGGAAACTCTTCCTAACACTTGAAAAATAGTTTGACATGTTGGTGACTTTGTAACACAGTGGTCAGGAGTTGGACTCACATTATAGCTCTTCTGTTTTCTAGCTCGTGACTTTGGACAAGTTTCTGATCCTCTCTACGCCTCAGTTTCAAGTCTGTAAATTTAAACTACAAAGGAACCTAATTCAAAAGGTTGTTTTGAATAAGTGAAAGAGAATTATGCGAAATATCTAGCACACTAAGTATTCAATGAATGTTAATTATAAAGAATTATTATAATGATTGAAGAACAGAATCCAATGTCTCACATGTTAGGGTAAGGTGTGGATCCAAGAAAATCTGATTTTATGTAGTATTTTGTGTGATTGTTTTTTCCTGCAGAAATCTCACAGCTTTGTTCCAGTTCTCAAAAGAACTCATTCTCCTCGGGCGGTTAGAATCTCATGAATTAGAACAATATGCAGACTGAAGAAACACCAGCATCTTTCTTGTTGACAGATGCCACCTTCCTAGTCTCAGACAATCTGTTGCTATAGTGCTTCCACATAAACGAACAGACCAGCTTGGAGTCTCTCTCTTTATGAAATCTGAGTTATGTCTGATTTCTCTCTCAACAATGCCAAATGTAGAAGTAGCCTGTGGAGACCCTGAAGGAAGAGGGACTAGAAAGATGCTGCTGGCCACGCACAGCTGATTTTGGAGTAAACAAATGTTTTTCCTATCTTCTTCCAATGAGGGTAGCTCCCTAGTTATTTTATTGAGCAGATCATTGCTAAAAATTGTTCAGGATGAAGCCAATGCACTCACTTCATAGTGAGAATGTCTATGCGCCTAATGAGGCATTTGCAATATTCTCTGACTTCCTATGTGGATTTGGACTGTAAAGCTTCTCGCCTATCGCAAACTTCAAAGTGGTTACTGATGATATCAGTTGCTAGACCAAAATTAAAGAGTAGCAGTTAGCACTGATGTTGTTATGCCCGAGACTATTTATCAGTGAGTTTGATGGCATCCTTAATACATCACATTTCCTAGTGCATCAAGGGCTCGTAACACTGTTGCTGGTTTTCTCAAAGGAGGATACTAACTTGCTACTCAGTAAATTTCTACAAAAGGAAGGTAGGGGAAACGGAAATAGCATATTTGAGCATGGGTTGGCCCAAAAGGGGTATTTTCTTTTACACTTGTGCTGTTACAGTGCTCTGAAGGAGGGCCTCCCGTGAGTTATTATTTTCCCTTTGCCATTCAGACCTGCCTTGAGAAATTTCAAGGACTCTATTATGAAGAAAGCTTTTAAGAACCATGGAAATCACACTGCTTTTGAAAGCGCTAATGCCTGTGGTGTGCTGCTCAGGCTGAAGCAGCAGGCTTCCGACTGTGCTTTATCTCTTATCTGTGGTTTGGCTTTGTGAGAAATTCAGAGGCAACTGTATAATTTTAAATTCCGATTACCACAAAGAAAGAGATGCATCTGACATCCCAATGCAGTAGCTTTGACTATTTTAATGGAAGTATGTGGAAACTGGGGGAACCTTCCACCAAGGAGAAAGTGATGAAAGACCGCAAGAGAGACATTTTATCTTTGAGATAAAAAGACTGTTTTTTAAGGTTGTTTCTTTCATTATAACTTTTTTCCCGACCTGCTACTGGTGTACCATGCAAATGTATCATTCAGGAAACTGCTTCTTTATCTTCTTTTGTTTAAGATATCTGGGGGCAGGAAAAGGAGGAGCACTGGTTTTGTTTACAACTTACTTAAAGGAGATTTTTCACTTTTCATAGGCCTTTAAAAAAGATCAGGGGCTTAAATGGAGCCTTTAACCTGTTTGGTCCAATTTCATTTTTTTGCCTGAAGATAACAAGAGCAAGATATTTGTATTCTATAGCCAACTTAACCTTCGTCTAGCTGTATCCACATACTAGGATAAAGGACTCCCTAAAAGATTAGGGATGGGTAAATGGTGGTCATTTTCATTAAAAAAAAATGAAAGTTCTTCTTCAATATGGATACTTCGGAAGTTGTTGTTAAATCATGCTGTTTTAACAAACTGACTATGAGGCCCTTTTTAGTAAAAGAGGAGAGAAATCTCTGGCAGAAACCTGCCACAGCATACAAAACAAAGATGTTGGAGTCCAAAACATGTCTTTTTTTGCATTTGCTCCACACCCAGGAACAAAAACTTACATCCTACAAAACCAAAGCAAATAGACATGAATTTGGTTCCTCCCAGTAATGGATTTGTAAAAACAATTTTACTACATTTTTCTTCCTCCAGATTTTAAGATGTTGCTTCTTTTAATACTTCCAATTATTCAGTGTCCCAACTTCCTCTTTAAGCCTGATGTGGCTGTCAGAACATATTCACACCATAAAGACACAAATAACTGAGGTCCCGGTGGCTAAAAATAACACATGAAGTTAAAAATACGTTCTGGGAGACCTTGGAATGGACACCTTTCTAGAATATGGGAAAGCGAGGTGGAAGCTTCTGTTATATAGACAGCAGAAAAATGTTCTCAGCAAAGAGACTAAATTTAAAGCCTAGGATACCCTTTACTTCTTGTCACACAATGATTAGGGCTTAAGGAGCCATCTTTCTATCAAGGTTTTGCAGAAAAGACTCTTGGAGGACCAGTCCCCCCCCCAAAGCTGCCCCTAATTCCATTCTGCCTATTCCCAATTCTTTGAATCCTGTGTTTCTCTATTGGATGGGTTACTTCATATAGTGCAAGGAAAATCTTCACTAAAATATTTCCCAGGTGGTTATATTCCCCAGCCTACCTGGAAATGTAGGCTTACACTCCGTTACTGCATAATCTATTTGGTTGTACCTGTGTCTAACATGTATCACAAATGACCTGTAGGTCAGGATCAGCAAATTTTCTCTATAGAAAGCCAAATAATAATAATTATGCTGGTGGGCCATACAGTGTCGGGCACAATGTTACAGAATGATATCAATGGCTGGTAGCATATTAATGAAAGTATATGGCTGTGTAATAGTGAAATGTATTCAGAAAAACAGGTGCTGAGTAAGATTTGGTCTCCATCTCAGAGACCTTTGCTGATCCTTGTTCTAGGGTCAAACCTCAGGCACTCTTTGGTCTATGATTTCAGGGTATACAGTAGAAATTATCCAAAGGGAAAAGTCACCTCAAGGAAGTTAAAAGCAAATGCAAGTTTATAAACTTTTTCTTTGATAACATAATTATAAAGTCACAGGTCATGTTTCCACCTAGATAGATGCCATACAGGGCTTTCAAAAACCTTCTTCATACTCAAGTAATTTCTCAAGATGGAACTTTTATCACTTACTGAGCATATATCAAACAGAACTAACTGCTGAACATATCTGGAGATCCATTTTTCATTGATAAAAAATTGTCTGAAGAAGTTTAGCATAGTAGAACTTCTAGTATATTGAAGATTCATTTGAACTCTGTTAAACCTCCAATTGCTTAAAGTACCCAAAGGCATGGTTGTCTAGAAGATAGTATATACTATATAAATGTTAGAATCTCGTTTTTAAAAATTTGGGGTTAACAGGTTTTAATGTAAAAGGTATTTTTTTTTTCTCCAGAATTATGACCGTGGACAGATATTTTATTTGTAGAGTACTGGGGTAAAAGATATACTTTGAAAAACTTGGAATTCACTTTACTAATTTCCAAAGTCTGAAGTGAAATACATAACTGCACTCATCCCAGAGTTCCGGCTTATTACCTTATAGATTGTGGTCATTTAGCATCAGGGAAAGTCAGAGTTTGTTATCAAGTGTCCCCCCACCTCCAAAAGTTTTTCGAATGCAATTATTATTTTCATTGTATTTGTGATCGATTAAAGATTAAATTTTACAAGTGGGATCATACTACTTTTTGGGGAGGGGCCAAAAAACTACCAAGGTGCTTATTTTAGGTTTTTGTTGTGATTAGAACAAAATCAAAGGAAAGGGGTCCAGGGAACTTTTTGTTTTCTTGTTTTCTTTATGTGAGATGACAAGATACAAAGATAATCTGCTTAAAACAAAACAACAGCAGGAAAAACTTCCTTCTTAAGGTATTTATCCACAAAGGGCCTCAGGGTTACTATAGTAGTGTATCAGAACGATATGGGTTCGATGTTTGGAACAGCCATGGGAGTAATTTCCTGGCTTGCAAAAACCCTGTGTATGATGTGCATTGCATGCAGATTATGGTAACATGGTCCTAAGGATATTAGAAATACTGATCCAGATAAACTTGATGACTTTTACGAATGGTAGGTGTCCCTTGTTAGGTCTTCATGCTGCAAATTAAGCAATCTTACATTCTTGGCTTAAAACTGATCAAGCCAGTTCTTCACCGTAAGACACTGGAGAGCCAGCTAGAGCCTCAAAGCCAGCAAAACCACAATTTAGGCTAGGACCACCCCTTCCCCTTTTCAGTAACTGAATATTGTGCCAAACAGCTTGCTTTTGCATCCACATGTGCAAACTTTAGCCAAGATTTGGTGTCATCTCAAAAATACCAAACCTCTTCATCTTCTGTGACAACCTTCTCCTGCTTGTGAAATAGGAAAATTAGAACCTTGTTGAGGAAAAAAAATGCCATTCAAGCATACAAAATACAACCTCATTTAGGAGTTTGGGGCCATTGATTGGTAAATGGCATCCAAGACTTTCAAAGACAGTTACATCTCCTTTCCAGGCTCAATAGAAACCACATCAGTCAATCATTGTTTTTGTCTATCCAATTTGATGCCCAGTCATAACTAAACAATTCCCCTCTAATCACTCAAAATAAACTACAGGTAACAAGATAAATAGGATGTGCTTCTCCTTGCTGAGTGCATTGACGTAAGGCATAGGCACATTTCCCCCTCTTTGAACAGAGATGGTGTAATCCCCTGTCCCAGCACAAGAGCTGGCCAGGGTGACCCTGGAGCACGGTGATGAAGGTGTAATGATGAGAGGTAGCTGATGGTGGGAACCAGAGCTGCATCTTACAGATGAGGGTGCAGGTGCTGCTGGGACACAGTGATTCTGATACATTAACTTTCAGGGAGCAATTCTGGCAGCATGCAGTGCTTTAGATCTGTGAGTCCCAGAGAAAGAGAGTAGATTTAGGAATACATTACCAGCACTGAAAAAAAAATTATATATGTAAGAGATCAAAGTCAGAGAGTTTGTGCGTGCCTTTAAAAAGGCATGGCTCTTAAGTTACCTCACAATCCCAAGAAACATATAAAAACTAATTAGGTTCTTGGTGCGACTCTTAATTAGATTTCTGATTTAAAATGACTTTTCTCGGGACTGTGGTTCCACGATTAAGAATTTTGATTGACCTGATCATTTTGTGTGAGAGTGTGTTGAAGTAAAGATTGAGAACACAGCCGCTCTTGAGCCATTTTTCCTTTGAGCAGAGACATAGTGCACATTTATTCTTTGCTGTCATGCCATTGAGTAGCTTCCAGCCGACTGAAGAGCAGCTGTTATCCTTTTATGTGCTGATTTACTACTCTTATTTGGACTGTGGGAGAATATCTGAGCTTAAAGGCAGATAAGTAGAAGTTGTGTGAGCGGTTCAGAATTCACCAGAATTCATCCTCCTCACTCATGCAATAGCCAAAGCCCCAGTACGTTAGGCTGCAAATACTGGGCAGTCATTCTGAGTTTTTATGGCTGACTTTAATGGCACTACCCCTTTTGTTACTTGAAGGTAGAAGCTGCTCAGTCTTCCTGAAGCTAAAAAAGGGAAGGCAAATGTCTAGTATGTGTGTGACGCTGGGGTTGAACTCGGGGACTCACACAAGCTAAGCACAAGTTATACTAATGAGCAGCACCCCCACTCCAATGTGTCTGTTTTTGATACAAAGATTTCAGTGCCTGAGCATGACTTGGAGAGTCCCACTATGGCTGCCTCTACGGACACCGATGGAAAAGGTGTGCTGTTACTGTGTGTTGATGAATATTCTTTTCAGTGCACAATGTGATTCCCAATGGTCTAGGGCAGTGTTGGCAAACCTCTGGCATGCGTGCCACAGCAGGCTGTTCGTACTGTTCAAAGATCTAAAAGGTTCGCCATCACTGGCCTAGGGAAGATGGCATCTGAATTAGTATTTAGATTTCGTCGTGTGGATGGTGGTGATGGGATGGAAAGTGATGGTGAATATCACAGGGTCACCCATGGTTCCTTTTGTACTGAAACTTTGTTTTATACAGAGGATATATATATATTTATTTATATATATTTATATATATATATATATATTTATATCCACTCACACACACAAACACACTCACACGTGTACACACACTCACACATAAAAGGTCTTTGATAGGCTTTCTGTGTTCTAGTAAAAATAGCTGGCAGCCAATGTCTCAAGCCAAAAAAGGGCCTTCGCGCTGCCCACAGTGTCCACTCTGGAGAGTCTCTCAAAGGCAGATGCTTGTGTTTATCTGACAAGTGGAACCGGTTCCTGCCTGGGACAGGAATAATCTCCCATTGGCGCACACGCAGATCTCGAAGACCTTCTGCCTCGTTCCCGAGGGGGTGTAGGATCCGTGAGGCAGTCTAGGTAGTTTGATTTTCGCAGCATCTAACTTAATCTAAAGAGAGGAAATAGTGGGGAAGAGTCAGAGGCTGTCGTCTATGCTCTTCACATTCAGAAACGAGCACGCTCAGAAACAAGAGCTGAATATTCAGTTCAGTTAAAAACCTCATGGATACCGCCTATGGATGGAGCTATGGCAGCACGGAGGATTTGGAGATAAATAAGAGAAAGTCTCTGTCTTCCTAAAAGCTCATATTCTAGCAAAAAATGGCTCACTGTTATTAGCACTTTGCAAAAGTATGACATGTAGAATGGGAACAGTGTCCTAGACTGAACTAAATATGAAAATGCTACATTTATTTAACAATTTTTGATCTCGCTTATGTCTACATACAAGGTGGATCTTTAAGAAAGTATTTTTGAAGTTTAAAATGAAATTATTAGTAACTTTTTTTTAACATGTTGTGGTACTGATGTTCTATTGGATAGACTAAAAAATACATGACTACAAAAAATAATCAGTGCTGGAAGTTGACATTAGATTAATGATTATAAACCAATTCTTCCATATGTGAGGCAGTTTCTGTTTTTGTTATATATGTGGTTTTCCGTTTGTGGCTATTTTAGGAAGCAGTTGTGATAACTGAATAGCTACCTAACTTTTTCAAAACAAAAACAGCAAATGTCAAAGAAATCAAAGGGAGAACGTTTATATACATGGAGTGGATGTATAGCACCAAATGGAGAATAATACCCTCCACATAGATATGAGAGGTAGAGGAGAGATTTGTCTCCTTCTCATTTTTATATAAAAATACTTACTTATATAAAAATACTCACTTACTAATACTTTGAAGACATTTTTAAAAAGTCTGCAGTTAAATTGTGATTTTTTTTTGGGGGGGGGGGAAGACATTTACCTTACCTTGCTTACGAAAATCACAAATGAAATTTCCATTCACTCACTTGGGATTGTAGCTAAGAAACAGAATTATTATTTGCCATCATTCTAGCTTCTGTTGTGTAGTTTTACCCTGCTGGGTTTTTAGCTTGTTCAGGTTTGGGATGGCTGTTGGATATGACTCTTTGGTGTCAATGAAAATTTAAACACATGAAATAAATAACTACAAGTAAATTAAGTTCATCTTTAGCCAGATGGGTGTGAAATACGGCTTCATTATGCTGGCTAACTAAATCTTATTTTAAGGCAGGAAGCGACAGAATTTGGAAATAGCCTTCATTTTTATGGTCATGTAATTCTGTACTTGCAATACATGTCATTATGCTAGCGTTTTACAAATAATGAATCATAACTTTTATGTATTATGGGTTGGCTTGTCATTGTGCTGTGAAACTATTTGTTCCAGAAAATAAAACCTTCTCATTGGCTATTTTGGTGGACACAATATAGGATCAGTATCAGTAGCACAGCAGCTTTGGCAAAGATCGGCCTCCATGCTTCCTCTATTTACCTCTCCATCTTTGGATTCCAGTCTCAGCTCAGTTCTGCAGGTGGCTTCCATGTTCCCAGCTTCTGCATTTATTTCTACTCCCTTTGGGGCCTCCATCACCAGAGACCGGGTTGGGGACTCCAATCTGAAACACATGTAAGCCACAGATTAAAGACTTTGAGAGGAAGTCAATGTTCTTGGCATGGAAACAGCATTTCAGTATTTGATCAGGGAATCTGTCTAGCCTGTGTTTTGCCATTCTGGTCAAGTTATGACAGAGTATACTCTAGGTTGGATCTTCATTACTTACTCAGAGGTCAAACGGAAGGAGTTCTACAGCCATGGCTGTACTTTATCTTATACCTTGTCATTTGCTTCTTTGGTTTAATTAACCAAACTCTTGCATACACAGTTTCTTATAGAGTAGGACAACCTGAAGTCTAAGGTTGACTTTCTAAAATCAGTATTGGTGAACTGGGATTCTTTCCACTTAGTCCTATTTTCTGTGTCTTCCATAGAGGTGGACTCATGCTAGAATACTGGAAATAGATTTAGGAATGAGATATACTTGGACTTGAGCCATGAGGCCATCACAGTATGATCCTGGGCAAGTCTTTCTTTCTTCTGCTCTCCTTTCTGAAATTTCTCAGTGCCTCAGTTTCCCCACATACAAAGAGCTTCCACTGGTACCTGACATGCAGGAAATGCAAATATGCATTAATTATTATTATAAGTTGAACGAAGCAGAAATGTTTCAGATATCTTTTGCAGATTTTGGAACATTTGCATAGGCTTTACTAGTTGACTATTCTTAATCTGAAAATCCAAAACGCTCCACAATCTGAAGTTTTCTAAGCCTCTTATTAGTGCTCGAGTTGTTTTGCAATTTGAATTGTTTTGGGGTCTCTGATTAGGAATACTCAACCTGTACTGGTGTTACTGTTGTAACAATAGAAAATCATAATGGAGTATTGGGACTTACTTTACAGTGAAGTTTTTCAGAAGAAGATGTGGAACACATCACTGGCTGCCAGGGGAGAGAAGCTGGTTTGAGTGCCAAGGGACAGCATGCAAAGAGGGTGTTTTGGGTGGTGGAACTCTATTTTGCATGTTGATTGCAGTGGTTTTTGCACTTCTCTTGTATTTGCAAATGCTCATCAAAGAAGACAAGCATATGCCATGGGTCCATGGATGCTTTTAATTCTCTTGTGATATTTCTTATTATGATGCCAAAAAAGAGTATACTATTCTTTAGAAAGTCTTTTGACAGATCACTCTAATGTGAAAACATTACCAAAATCCAACCACCCCCTAATAGTCTGAATCTTAAAAATATTAGTAGATAGGAATGTATGAGGATCCTTGTCTCTGTTGCAAAGAAAGTGTCCCAACTTGGGGAAGCAAAGATGCCAGCCATTGTCCTCAACCTGTTTTGATTTATACCAATTTTCTGACTCGGTGTTTCTAACCTGTTGGACATTCTCAACATGTTAAAAAGCAGTTCCCACCGCTGACTCCTGATTCTGTTCCTACCATTCCATCTGGGTAGGCCAAACCCTCTTGGATAATAGTAAGTGGCCAGATGAGCAAACTAGCCAGTGAGATGCCCCTGCAGAACAATCCCCAGCCACATTACAGTCATGCCATAAAGGCTTCTTTACACTGCTTGGGCCAGGTGCTTGATGATGGCTTCTAGGCAGCAGCTGTCTGCCTGAATTTTTCCTCCACAATGAATCATCTGGAGTTAAAAGAAAAGCGACAGTAACATCCTAGTTCAACAAAGACAGGCTTGGCTTTCTCTTTAGCTCATCCTTATTGACCTCATTCCTTTGTGTGTGGAAAAGTCTCCAAATCCCATTTTGTCTTTCTCACAGGACCTTCACTGAGGCTGCCTAGGCTGCTGGGGTGCTGCCTATTGGTTTGGTCTGCTTCCTTAGCACGTGGTTTTCTACTAAGGCGAAGATGTCAGAGCAGTGAGCCAGGAGTACTGTTACCAGGGCAACAGGGAGGCTTCCCTGGGGACCTTCACCCAGCGCAGATGAGCTTCTGTTATGTCCCTGTTATGGCCTCCTCTTGTTTTTGAAACCTGAAGATAGTTTTGTGTCATTTTTTCTCTACATTCCAGCTGACTTATATAGTTTATCATTAGTTGTTCACTATTTCCTTCCCATGACCCTTGACCCCTTAATCCTTACAACATACCCCCCTGTCCAGCTCATCAGTGGACTAGCACATTTCCCCTTTTCCAGCTGAAACCCCTCATGCCATCCTTCCTTTCTCCTTCCTTCTCTCAGTTCATCAATTAATTCAGCTTTTAACTCTAAGTTCTGTCTTCTCCATTGATCAGAACATCTGTAACCTGAGTCACGGTACAGACCTCACAAGCTTGGTCTCAAAGTTTTCACATTTTCCCATTCCTCATCACACAGCAACATATCTTCCTGAACAACTCATCTTTCTCCTCAAAACTCTTCAGGAGAGAGCTGAACTCCCGAGCTCATGCAGTCAGGTAGAATTCACTCCGACTTGTTCTGTTGACCTTATTTCTTGTGGCAATATCAGGTATATTTTACTGAGGGTTTGCTAGGTGATGACATTGTGCAAAACTCTTCATATGTGTGATCTTATTTATTCAGTCTTCATAAAGGCTTATTAATCCAGTGTTCCTGTGGTCCTAGTGGCCCAAACAAAGAAACTAAGGATACATAATTATTCAGTGCTATTCTTGTAATTATGGCAGAATGAAATTCTAACTTCTTAAAAGCCAGTGTGTCATTTACAATATTACTTTACATAAAAACTGTATTTTTGTTCTCATCTATGTATGTTATCCTGTTCTCTATAATTAAGTGCTCCCACTTTTCTCATGAAATTAGTATTTGTACAGGACAGGAAGGTGATAGTCCTGAATATGGCCGAGTGACACATTCTTTACGATATTTCTCGTGTTCAGTGTATATTGCTGATCAAATTCGGGATCTGCTGAATTAGTTCATGCGGGGTATATTGGCTTCCAAGTGAATGATCAAATATAAAATGATAGTTGGGGAGAATGAAAGATTTAAACAGAACATGCGTGGAGCCTGGAGAACTTTCTCAGAGTCAGTGTGGTTACTTCAGGCAGGCATTAGAATTCACTTTATTCTTGCAAACTGCATGAGTTCTTGGAGATCACTAGGAGGGCTTTGAGGTCAGAGAAACGGACTCAAAAATAACTGCAGCCCTTTTTCTTCTCTCAGCACTGGAAATACAGGGTGCTGAGAAAGGGAGTTGCTCTTACACTGTCCTACTGTGAAAGGCCACAACCAGCTGGGTATGAAAATGTCCTTAAAGCAGAGCAAAAGGGTAACAGCCTGCCTGGTTCACAGTCATTCTAAACACCCTTTGATGTTAAGGCAGACTCACTGTAATATGTGCGCATACCAGTCTTTCCACTGGGAAAAGCCACCTCCCCTAGCCCTTGGGAACTGCAGAGGGCAGACAAGGCAGTGCAGTGAGGCCCATCGGTTTCTAACCATGCATTCAGGACCGCACCATAACTGCTTAGACTGCAGGGACAGTCTAAGTCTCCTGATAGAGGGGATCGAGGGTCCTGCTGGCTGCTATGAGTAAATGCTGCTCCCATTAGAAGACTGTGCTACTCTTCCAAGAGGAGGAGGAGGAAGAGCCTTGCTGAAAAGGTACGGAATGGAAGAAAGACCAGATAAGGGAAATCACAGACTGTCCCAAGTCCTCAAAAAGAACAATTTTCTCTTGTGAGCTTCAGACTTGCCTAGAGGGACAAAAGCACAGATTCTGGGCCCATTTGCAGAGTCTGATTCAGTGTCCACTCCTCTGTATCCATAACCTGCTCACCAGGATGGGGATGCATCTGCATCAGGGTCACAGTTATCATAAAGTCAGGTGCCCACAGACATGAGACGAGGTGATACCAATGCATGACCCACAAGAAAGCTCTAAGTCAAATGACAGTCTCAGCACAGGGGTCCTGGGGAAATGGTGCAGGTGCAATGAGAGAGCACATGGGGACACTGGTCACTGAGGTGTCATTAAATCCCATAGGTAAATGCAAAAGAATCTTTAAGAAAACAGAAATTCTTACCTGTGCAGGGCCTGAGCTCACCTTCTTGATTTTATACATTTCTTTCCTTCCCTGGCAGTAGATACTACTAGAAACTTATTATTTTCTTTATTTTCCCATTACACTTTTTACTGTATTTTTACTGTATGTTGTTACATACTATGGCATGCTTTTGAATTTTAAGCACAGAATAATCCCACTTTTGAAATAAAGCAATCTTTTTTCCCCTTTATGTAATGCTCCTGAGATGCATATACTTTGTGACATTAGTTTTAATCTATTCACCTTTCTTGGTGGAATATTCTGTAATCATTTGTCTATTTCTCTGTTAGACTAGGTTTTTGTTTCAGCAAAGGAGTATACATACAGACATATTTTTATGCATGGTTCCTGGTACATTTATGCAAAAATCTCTTTGAGATTGTACAGTACAGTGGAATTGCTGCTTCTGGGTGGGCATATCTATACCATCACAAGATAATGTCAAATAGTTTCCAAAACTATTACCACAATTGGCTTTCCCACTAGCATGCATCAAGTTCTAGTTGTCCTACTTTCTCACTAACATTTGAAGTGTTAAGTATGAAATGAGTGTGAAATTGAATGCTGTTATCTTTTAAAATTACATTTCTCTAATTGCCAGTGGAGGGAAACCACGTGGGATTTTCTTCAGTAAAACTGTCTACTTTAATGATTTTAAAACTTATTTTGGCATGATTTGTAAAATGCATATGCTAACAAATATTTAGCAGTTTTAACAATTCTTTACATTTGTAGTTTTTCTTTTCCTTCTGTGTTTAGCAACTTGGGATGAACAGGAATGTACCCTTTATAGTTTAATGAAGATGAATTAATTATCTTTCTCCTGTAGGGTTTGTGCTTTCTGGGTATACATGAAGCAGTCTTTTCTTACTCTGAGGTTGTGATGTTCTCCATTATTGCTTTTAAAAGTTTAACTTTTTTCGGTAAGTTTTAAAATAGTTTTTAATTTCTATGCATGGTGGGGGGCAGTTCAACACACAGGTCATTTCAATATCATGTGTTGAAAAATCTGTACTTAGCTG